GCGATCCCAAGTAAAGCATTGCTGAATGTTAGAAGCTAAATTCAAAGAATCCCAATGTAATGTGTTTATCATAGTCATGGAGATTTTAACATGAGAATTTCCCATGGAAAAAAATCACGTATCCCAGAGGGAATTGTCAACTTGTAAGAGTCATGCGTTTTTAAAGAGATAAAAACTTGACGAGCTGTCCATTTCAATAAAACATGTCATGCTACTCCATTGACAGAGATGTCATTTAGAAGCGTATTAAAATGTTACTACATATGCATATACATTCCGTTTGAAGTGGACTATTATTGTAACGGTTTAATACTGGGCTGTTTACAATGCCTATGAAGCAGAGACCTTGTGTAATATAACTGTTTGTGCAAACTATAAGTAAACACTTTGTGCACCTTTAAATGAGAGAGTACTTTATACTATAAACACAATTCGCAGAATTGTCAATTAATATCGATGATGCATGTGTAGTGACATAGAATTGGTCACCAAGTAGCATAGCACTGGCTGCTGGCAGGGAAGGGGGTCTGCAGCTTGCAGCAGCCCTGACTGACAGCAGGCCAAGTGATAAACCCGAGAGGGATCTAGGGTAAAGGTTACGGAAGGGACACGTCGAGAGCCCGCTAGTAGGTTCCAGAAGGGGGGCGTGGCCGGGGTGGAGCGAGGCCACGCTAACAGGATAAAAGAGGTCCCCGAGCAGGAGCTCGGGGCTGTCATTTGGAGTGGGATCCGGTCGTCGTTGCTGCTGAAGATCGTTACCATTTACGTCTTCACCTTCTCGGCGTCGTCAGTCAGGCAGTCTGCCAGCTGTCCTGACTGGGAGCTGTAGTTACCTCTTATGAACTGTAAAGGCTGTTAATAGAGTTGCGTATAAGCGAAAGACAGAAAGTGTGTAACAGTGTAGGGTGTGTATAAAGTGTACAAAGTGAGCTCGGTGTTTTATTAAAGAATTGCCTCCAAGAAGTTACGTCTCCAAGTCAGTCACTACACATGAATCATGCTCATGGTGGTCATGATGCATGTGTAAGGAGCGACTTCCATGACACGTTGTGTAGAGGGTACTTTATTACTCACACTGGGCACAACACAGGCCAACACTTGTTCTTCCTCACACCGAGTATAACTCTAGGTATTAACACCTCTACTGGCTACACACACAGCCAATCACTTGGCCTGGTCCCATCGCCCTCACCTCGGCTACGCCGCTGATTGACGGCGTGACGATGACGGCGATGGAAACCTCGCAGGAGATCTTCCACGTGGTCGGACGACGGAGAGAGATGTCGGCGAGCAGCGACGCAGCCAGGAACCAGGACCCCACACACGAGCCTCAAGCCCTGGGTCTGCTCCCCCTTATATCCCCCCAGGCGTAGCTAGGCCCCGCCTCTGGCCGCGCCCTCTCGTGGAACCTTCGAGCAGGTTTCCGGAGTATCTCGGCTAACCCCACCTGTGACCTTTGCCCCAGATACACCTTCTCTGATTGGTTGGTACTTAACCGTGTCCATACCCGTGATTTCCTTTCCAGCCAGCAGGTGTCACCCTGTTATTACACATGTGTAAATACACTTTTTATTTTATCTATTGATACAAGTTGTATGCAATTTGTCATGTGACATTGCAGCATTAGTGGCAGAGTACATTCACCACAATCTAGAAAGAAATAGAATCTGGCCTTGCATAAAATATCAACCCTGAAGTGTACAATTCAAAGCAGCACGGGGTTATAGTTGGTGGGTGAACCATTGCTGTATATTTCTGCAGGATCTAACAAAAATATCGACCAAAACTCATTTTTACTTAAAAAATGTTTACTGGACAGGTCGCTTCTCTTTTTCAGAGGCGACCTGGCCACAAATGATAGCTCAACGAAGTGGCTCATCATGTGGAAATTGATAGCAGCCAAATACTCTAAAAAGGCATGTTTCTAAATGTGGAGGGGGAAAAAAATGGAGGTCTGAGAAAATCCATGCGACCACAGAGAGAACATGCAAACTCCAAATATACAGGCTACTTTACCAAAACATGCAGTATATAAATACAGTACAGTATATTTTCAGTTGCAAAGTGATTTAAAAATATACCTACTCTGCAGCTTTATGCAAGTCTAAGCAATGTGTCATTGTGATAGTGTAACAATGGTATGCGTTAGCCAATAAAGTAGATTACCTTCATTGATGAGAAATTAAAGTACAAACAAGCAAACTTGGCTCAATTAATTTCACAGCCACTCTCAATAATGCAAAAACAAAAAAATTCAGAAATGTCAAAAGGGGGCAAGACTGCATCAGATGAACATGGAAAAACTGCCGAATCATCGACGACGTGAGCTAAAACTGATTCGATGTCTGCGAGAAGAACTGGTTTCCCAAACATATTTAAGGCACGGCTGCTTGTTAACCACAAGGTGCCTTACACAAGAGCTGCTGCGTCTGTTGCTCTGCAAGCTGATGAAACACACTTATTAACATGCTGACAGAGTACACTAGGCGTCTGTCACAATTCATCTAATTTCCCCTGTGGCTTTCAGGGGGGGGGTCGGTAAACAGCCAAGTGGCAGTAATGCAGATGATCAACTCATTCGTTCATCTACTGCTAGACAAGTCCTCTCTCTAAACGAATTTTGGTCTTTGCCCATACTCCCCCCATGCAGGATGGTTGCAGTTGGTGCATGGACAGATGGATGGGAGTTGCCCAGGACATGGTCCAGGAATTTAACCAGGGTGCCCAGAGTTCATAGTGCAATGTGAGTATCGCTACGCCACCGTACACACAGTAGCAATTAATGTTCATCCGAACAAAAGCGTCCCTATGCAAAAAACGCACTCTGTTGTATCTTCAATTTAAACAAAGTGTGATAAAAAGCCATTATGGCTGAAGGGCCATGCATCGAGGGTGACACAGCGATGCATCACGAGTTCAATGTGGAAACAGGTTTGTAGTTTTACCTGTAAATTAAATTAAAAGTTGGAGGGGCGTTTTAAAAGTCCATTAGGTGTGTGACCAGAGTTGTATAACTTTATTGACACCAGTCACACGTTTGGGGTGCATCTAACGTCCTCAGCTGTTTAATAACACCCTAACAGTACTGTGACGTTTCAACAATATTGCACATGAGACCATTAACTACGATATGGTGTGTTAACAAGCTCAATTTTACAGTTTCGTAATTAACTAGAGTACAGTACATCTACTTTTACCATCTAAATGACTACATGATTAATGAGTGATTAAGGCTTGCCAGGTGTCGTAGGAATGGGGCTCCGAGGTGGCTAAATGACAGCAGGGTTTAAGTGTGATGGGTTTTCTCTGGGCTCTCAAGTTTCATTAATTGAACTGGCCAAAACATTAAAACGCAGGGCCCTCCAGAAAAAGCATTGCCATTCGTCGAGGCTTCTTGTTGGGTAAAGAATTTGCACTCATCACCGTTATTAGTAACATTAAAATTAAACAAATCTACTTTTTAAAAAGTACATGCTAATGTGGTTTAGGGAAGAAACAACTGTGCAGTACTGTATATGTAAAGCAAAGATGCTTTTAACAGTTTCTTAATTTATGGTTTATTCAATACTGTAGATAGAGCCAATGACACAGCAGAAGAGGTCCGCACACATTATTGGCACGTGTCCTTGAACAGAGATAAAGGCAGTACAGTGCTCACACACACACACTTCACAACTTGCCGATTTAAAAAAAAATGCAAGATGCCCGAAACAAACCCTGCCAGCATCATCAGTTACGAGTGTGACACACACACACACAGTGCCCATCCGACAGAACAGCTAGCAGTATCACTGCGTGGTCACACATACATTTGCAAAGCACTATATGGAATCACTGTAAATCACGGTATTTTATTTACAGAGAAATACATATAAATACACAAACCACGGGAAGAGATTAAATCACGTTCAAACATTTACGTATCAACTTTTATAATCCAGTTCTAGTTGAGACTGACCCTCCATGCTGCTTTCAATGGAGTGTGTGCTTGCATGCCCTTTAAAAAAATGCATCAACCAAAGTGAGAGCGCCGTTTAAGCATAACGTTTGAATACGAATAAAAAACGCGCGCGCACACACACGCAGTTAAAGCCGCTCTCATGTTTGGCGAGTCAACAGAGAACAGCACGTGTCGTGGTTGGTACTCGGCAGCAGTGTGTGGTAAAGGTTAAATAACGGGAGCCCAGTTTCATCCCGGCTCTGGCAAGGAGACCCTGACCTTCGGGCAAGGTCACCGCACACGTGCAGCGTGGACCGGGGTTAGGATCACCAGGCAATGGGACCCATGGATCGCAGGGATACATGCCACACCGTCGGGCCACAGAACCATGAACCAAGATCACGACTTGATACAAGGATCCGGGCCCGGACTAGTCCCAGGCACCCGGGTCTGAATACATACAGGGACTATGGATAACAGGACAAGGACGCGGGTAGAAGGACGCACTACCCGAACGAGAACCAGAATTAAGACCTCGGTGGGACGAATCGACTAAAATCTGAACCCGGACAGCCTCACACTCGGGAACTGGACCACTGAGACTTAGGAGACCTGGTCCCAGATGAGGACTAAAATCAAGCACGACTTGAAATTCGAATCGGTGCCAGACTTTGTGGACAAGAACCATAACACGTTGCCGACACCCAGACTGGGCGACTGCGAAACCCGGACTCAAGACCACATGGCAATCAGTCTCGCCTCTGAGTCGTGAAACCAGGACCAGGTCACCCTAAACACACGGACTCTGGAACCGGGCCCAGACTGGGAGCAGAGTTAAACCGGGCCAGATCGAACACCGGACAGGAACATTCAACCCGGACTGGACCGGACCCGACCCGGACTGGACCGGACCAGACCCGACCCGGACCAGATCCAGACTCGTCATGCTTACGACTGCAACTTCAACCCAACAGAAAAACACCCAGAAACAGAGAGTCTGACCCCCTCGGGCCAGACCCCCAGCGGGCACTTGGGATCAAACCCAAGGCCCGATCCTTACCAGGCCATCGGCGGTGACCGCTGCTCGGAGTTGAGGCTCCCGGCCTGATGGTCAACTCCGTTCTTGTTGTCGGCCTGCTGCGCCGGACCTGTGACGGGACATTAAACAAGCGAGAGATTGACGCAAGCCACACCACCACAAACCCCAGCAAGCAGCAACAACAAAATAAACCAAGACTCCGCCAATTCGATTCACCAAAACCAAGCTTACACGAAACTTCACACAGCAGGCTCACACAAATCACCAACTTAAGCCAACAATAACTAGCGACACGTGTACCCGTTGTGTGGATAACTCCACGCAACCGAGATAATTGCGAACACAACCAACACCATTGACGTGTCGGCACGGTGCTCGCTTGCACAACCCCATTCGGTGTTGCAGCTTTAACCCAGTTGTGCCCAAGGGTTTTGAGCCCTTAACAATCCAACCAGGCACCAAAGTGCCACATGGCATTGCAAGATAAAGACGCTGCAGCCAGCCAACAAAGCGCCGTAGACCACCTTAAACTATTAATGAACAATGCCGTTCGTTGTTAAGCCACGTGTTGTTCGCAGAGCACGTGGAAGAGGTGACCCCTGACGAACACGGAGTTACCACCCACCGCTCCGCATGGCCCTCTGTCCCCCATTGTAATCGGCCCCGGTGGACAAGGTCAACCCGCCTCCTCCACACCGAGCCTGTGGCCTCACCTCGTAGCCTGTGCGTGACCATCTTGCTGGGCCCCCTCGTGATGGTGTACATCGCCGCGGTGTCCTCGATGTCGTCGCCGTAAAGTCCTAACTCACAACACGCACTCGTCCTCGAGTCCCCCCACGGTACTCGCTTATATAGGACACGTGGAGGACCACATTACAACGCCTCCCCCCGCCTTCGCCGCACTTGGTACATCCCGTCCGTGTGAAGCCAACCAATAATGCGCGTGGGCGAGACCATTCGTGCAGATATAGAGGGTGGGGGGGCGTGGGCAGGAGTTTCGTTGGGGGTGTTGACTTTCGTGGAGGACCACATTGCAACGCCCACCCCCCCGCCTTCGCTGCACTTTGGTACATCCCGCCGGTAGGAAGCCGACCGATAATACGCGTGGGCGAGACCATTCGTGCAGATGCAGAGGGGGGGGGGAAGGGGCGTGGTCAGGAGTTTCGTTGGGGGTGTTGGCTTGTGGGCGGGACTTGTAGGGGTCAGCTCGGACTTCTGAAAAGTAATGTGGTGGTATAGCACTGTACGGTACAGTGGCTGCAGCACTTTGCTTGTTTCGCGATTATTATTGTGGGGGTTGCAAAAAAAACATCGCCATCAATTCATTTCTCTCCTTGTCGATGTATGTCCAATGGCAACGTCTTGTGGCTCGAACTGCCATAATACGTTCTGAGCTTTAAATTTCTGTTGTATTATTTATTTCATTGTATACTCCACCATCCCCCTCTCTCTCTACAAAAACCTTCGAGTCACAAAGCAGAAATTCGCGATACTCATGTAACACCACGCGTGCTCCGAATGTGGAGCGAGGGGTTAAGTAGGTGATGTGCTGCGTGGGAGTCGAGCGCGCCGCTGGTGTAGTGGTATCATGGAAGATTCCCATTCTTTCGACCCGGGTTCGATTCCCGGGCGGCGCACGATTATTTTATTGTTGTTGTTTACAAATTCGAAAACAACAACAATAATAACATTCAGCTGTCCCGGCAACATTTTTTAGTTATTCCACTGTGAATAGTAAATAACTTTCGTCGTGTACAGAGCGCGTTCGGGAATGTCGCTGAAATAATGTGGCAATGTTGAATTCCGGAAAATTGCGTTTAAAGTCAAAATTTAATTCGTGGCTGCAGAGTTCGCTTTACTAACGCCCATTGCAAAGTGCCGACAGCAGATTTAATGTCGAGTACAGTTGCAGCATATAAATACTCCGTAAACTTTAACCTTCATTTTCCGCGTCTTAAAAAAAAAATCTTACGCCGCCAAATGGCCGAAACGGGTACTGGGTACAATTCTAAACCCCGAATTAAACCCGAGATTATTCACCAATGCAGCAACATATTTAGTCGAATAAAAATTTTCTGGTGATTTATAGTATTTATCCGTCTATCAATGGGCAGAAAAGAGACAACAAATACACAACAATTATTTCCCGAGTAAAAAAAAATAATCGTGCGCCGCCCGGGAATCGAACCCGGGTCGAAAGAATGGGAATCTTCCATGATACCACTACACCAGCGGCGCGCTCGCTCTGCTTCCTGCCCGGCACGCGAGCTATAGGACGCATTCGCACAACACGTGCCACCCTCTATCCACTGCTGGATTATGTATACATGTTGGACTTCTAGATTTGAAGCTTTCGTGACTGCAAGGATTCATACTCTTAGGTTTTTTTCGGTAAAGTCACGTAGGTATAAAAAAATTATAATAATAATAATAATAAAAATTCCTATTATTATTTTTCTATTTATTTTTTACCTACGTGACGTTACCGAAAAAATCTCAGAGTAATGTTAGACTTCTTTAACACCGTACGTAGCCCACCATGCTAATTGGAGGTGTGGGGGAGGGGGACAACACAACTAAACCCAAAAATACGTTTTCAAGAAATTAGTTTTCAAATTACAAGGTCTTGTCACAAAGTGACTGCTAAGCATGTGGACATTTATGGGAGCCAAATACTCTGAATGCATGTTGATTTCTAAATGTGGAGGGAAAAACCGGAGAAAAATCCACGCGACCACGGGGAGAATTAACAAACTCCAAATATACAGACGTCAGGGATCAGAGGTCAGGATCGATATCATGACCTCCTGCATACCAGGCGAGGGAATTAACAGCTCGCCACGACAAGGTTTTTCTGATTAGGGCTTCACCTGGCGTTCATCACGCTGGTCAGTGCAGGTTGGTGAATAGACGTGGGAGCATAGAAGTACGGTTCAACAATGGGAGTTTGCTGCACTGCTTTCTGCTGTAACATCACGCAGCCACGCATCCTATAGCAAACCTGTTGAGCATGGTGGGCGCCCATCCAGAATCAGAATCTGTGTTTAGACTGGAGGAATGCGATGACCTGCCGATTTGTCAACACAAAATGTAAGCTTGGGCAAGGCAGCAAAACAACAACAAAAACAGTCCCAGACCACACCAAGTCGACACACAGTCTCTTGATAGCAACGCACATTAAATGTAATAACTACATATACATGGGCACGGTTCAGAGTTACAAATCATATTTATAAATGTGGCTGTATCTGGCACTAATCTTATACTTCAGGATATTTTTATAAGGAAGATTTACGACGTTAAGGGAGAAAACAAAGTTGATCCAAAACGTTGGTGCTGCAACTGCAAAATCTTTGTCATCTATTCCAATTCCAGTTCTAGGGATAGTTATACAAGGCAATTAGATGGACGTCTTAGGCTTCTTGGGTTTATAATGGCGTTAATGAATTAGCTAAATATAGCGTAGATGTGTCAATAAGCATTGTATGGATGAACGGGACCCAATGTAGAATTCTTATGATTTTAAATAGAGGTCACAATCGTGGGTTCTGCATGGTTACGTCCAGTGCAAATGAAAGAGCAGAGTGATAATGCGGGTTTAGTATGTTTAGCGTTTCATTAGTAGCTGGTTTCATCTTCTTGGTTCTTTCGGTAAAGTCACGTAGAAGGGAAGTAATAAAATAATAAAAATAAAACATAATAAAATAATTCTCACGACGTTTCGGCTACAACGCAAGCAGCCGTCTTCAGGTGAAGAATGAGACACTACCAAGCTAGGAGCTTATAAATACGCTGGGTTGGAGGTGCAAGAAGAGCGCCTTAACAAAAAGAATGTGCATATGAAGAGGAATTTAGCATATTCATGGGAAATGCGTAGGAGGTGGGCGGGGGGGTTTCAAAGTCATTATGCCCATGCATTATGCAGGATCAGCAGCACCAAGGGAGGGTGTACGGAGTAGCATTAACAAAGGAAAGGAACTATTAACATTCCTTTTCTTTGTTAATGCTCCTCACTGCACCCTCCCTTGGTGCTGCTGATCCTGCATAATGCATGGGCATAATATGACTTTGAAACCCCCCCGCCCACCTCCTACGCATTTCCCATGAATATGCTAAATTCCTCTTCATATGCACATTCTTTTTGTTAAGGCGCTCTTCTTGCACCTCCAACCCAGCGTATATATAAGCTCCTAGCTTGGTAGTGTCTCATTCTTCACCTGAAGACGGCTGCTTGCGTTGTAGCCGAAACGTCGTGAGAATTATTTTATTATGTTTTATTTTTATTATTTTATTACTTCCCTTCTACGTGACTTTACTGAAAGAACCAAGAAGATGAATCCCTGCAGTCACGAAAGCTTTAAATCGAAAAAAAGTAGCTGGTTTGTTAGCAGCATCAGAATCGTCACAATAGTCGAATTGAAAACAGTGTTTCTGAATAAAAACTCTATATTTGTTTGAGTTTCTTTCAGATGTGATCAATATGAAGTTGGAATGTTAGTTTTTAGTCAATCAGTAAACCCAATCATGTCAAGCACGCCGTTTGTTCAATGATGTTTCTGATATCCATTAAAGGTGAAGGGAATAAAACTGGATTTCTTTCGGACGTTCAGCTGGCAGTGCTACACTACTCTGATGAGCACAAACAAATCTTGACTTAAAGCTTTCGTGACTGCAGGAATTCATATTCTTTGGGTCTTTCAGTAAAGTCACGTTCAAAGAAACTAACAAAAATATTTTCTTTGATCCTATCTACGTGACTTTACCGAAAGACCCAAAGAATATGAGCACGAACAATAAAAAATAAAATCCACATACAGAATTGGCGTGTCGGGTAATCACATGCACTGATAAGCGCTCATCAGACTGTCAATGAAACCTGTATGCATTAGCCATGACACATTATTTATCTGCATGAATTTCTCGGAGAGGGATTTTGGTCGTTCTGAAGCCCTCTCCTGTCCCAGCCCACCGCGATTTCTGTACCCCCCCCCCTGCACCAGCCCCCACCACGACCAAACAAGGGGCGGGGCTGAAGAGGAATGGGCGGGGCATAAGGAGGAAGGGGGCGGGGCATAACCGATGAAGGGGCGGGGAATAAACAAGAAAGGCGCAGAGGGCCTGATTCGGAATGAGTGTGTCTTCCAGAGGGTCGACTTCCCTGGTGATTTAAAGTAATAAGAGCATAGAATAAAATCATGTACATATAGTAGGTAGCATCGCTTCAATGCTGCAGATGCGGCCACAAGCCAACTAGTTTAGCGTATTTCAGCAAAGACGTGTTTCTTAATTCGACCATGCTTTTTATTGCTCTGAAGCCCTTTGTTGGGTCTGCTGTGCCTTATGAAACGTAAATATAAAAATTAATATTTCATAGTCTACACTTTAAGTAAAACGTGTGTCTATGCTCAAGGTTTCAACTGTTGTCTCCTACACCGCTCTGTATTTAAACATGGCATGGGATAATGTTGAAATAAAACAAGGTTAGGGGCCGTCCATAAATGACGTCATGCACCTGGGGGGGGGGGTCAGACATTTGTGACGATGGGGGGGGGGTGAAAAATGTGACGTCACATCAAAATGCGCAACTTTAAATAAATATAGACAACACGTTCTACTTAATTAAATATACTTTTTAATAAATGATTTCTCCTACAACATCAGAGTGCAAGTGCCACATTAGATACGCACTACAATGACAATAGTTTGAAGCGATTTGAAGCATGTTTTCTTTTTTTGGGTAGGGGGAGGGGGTGCAGAGCTTTGTGACGTCATATTTGAGGGGGGTCTGACTTTGTGACGCCGTGTGACGAAGGGGGGGGGGGGTCAAAAATCGTACAAAATCACGTGACGTCATTTATGGACGGCCCCTAATCGGAGTTACT